CATGGAAAATAATAGTTCAACTAACTATTTGCTGTAATAATAAAGACCAGAAGCAAAAACCAAAGGCCAGGATCCTAGAGTCTTTCATGTTGACCTCTGTTCTATTATGAACTTTAAAATCTGTTTTACATCAGACACTGCAGGAAATAGGGTAGGAGAACATGGGAAAGGAATATATCCTGCTAAGGTTGCCTAGGTCTGGGGGAATTGGTGATGTTACCAAAAAGAAACAAACAGCAATTGATGAGGGTTTTCAATGTGATTAAAAATGCTTTGATGTCAGCTGATTTTTTTAAAAGAGAGAAAGATGCATATTTTAGCAAGAACATATCAAAATAAAACCCAGATTGACCAAGGTAATTTCCAAGAAAACAAGATACAAAGAATTGAGTATAGGCAAAACCATAGAACATAAAGGCATAAGACTTTTACTAGAATTCACAGTAAAAAGTACAAGAAATTCCTTTAGTCACATGAAAATGTTAACTAAAGAACCTTTTAAAAATCAGTAGAAAACAGCTTTAGAATAATGTATTTTAAATGAAAAAGAATAGCTTTAAATATGATAAATTATTTAGAGCCCACGATTTGAGTGGACAATCTGCATTATATTACATTTTTAAGTAAGTAATCTCGTTTAATTTTGTGAAAAACAACTTTATATATTATCATAGCTTTTCTAGTTTCTGTCTCACCTTCCACTCCTGTCATTGATAATGAAATGATTATTAGTGTGATACTATTTACCTTTTCCTGACAAGGTTAAAAGCATTGTTAATTGACCACTAGTTTCAATGGATATGGTATAGTAGTGATTACAGTGCTACGCAAAGGACTGTCCCACCATAAACACAATGTCCACAGAACCTGTCTGCATGAACCAACATTTTAACACACTCTGGAAACAAGTATTTTCTCACACAATGCTGCTCTCACCATAAGGACCATGTCCGGCAGGCCAAAGTACGTGCCCAGAGCAATTTGCTCCTCATAATACAGAGTGGGTTCAGTTCTGTAATTTAATTCCTCCCACTTACCCTTGAATGAATAGAGTGAGAAGGGGCATGATGCCTACCTGGAAAATTTCACCACATCATTCAAGATTCTTTTCCTGTCTTACACATTCTATGTGGTCATTATAAATCTCCTTTCCTTGCATTTCCAGTCTAGGGAGAGGAAAGTGGAAAATAAGTCTAGACTGCGCCAATCATTATTAATTAAACTATTTTATTTATTAAGGGTGTGTGTGTATGTGTGTGTGTGTGTGTGTGTATCTTTGTCTATCTATCTATCTATCTATCTATATATATATCAATTAAATTAATTTATATGTTTATTCTCTGGCAGGATAAAACTGATTTCTTTGCAGAGCAGTGGCATACTAACAAATGTTACATTTGGAAGGATGTATAAAAATCAATGATCAAAACCTGAATGGAGTCTGACTATATCCTTTCCAGTTGGAGAACACAGAATTAAAATAAAGATAAGAGAGATGTAAATATCTTTTAATAACAGAAAAGTCAGCTTGACATAAATTTCAAAGACTTGTACATTGGCTTTATTTTCTTGAAATCATTCTAAACTTTCTACTTAGTGAAATATAGGAAGAAGGAAATGAACAATATTCTTGAAAAAATTGTTTTTTTATATGGTTCCGAATCTTTAAAAAATTCTGACACTGAGCTGATTTTGAAAACTAATCATCTTTCATGCTAAAGAAGTTTAAATTGCCAGTTTAAGCCTGTTAAAAATATTTTTATTGCATTCTTAGTAATTTCCCTTGGAAGCATTTTTAAAGGCTCAGGAAAACATTTACAATTTTATAAAACCCTTTAAATTAATTTATAACTTAGCTATGAGCTTCTTTTAGGGAGACTCAAAACAGTGGGCGACCTTATATCCATAATGTGTATGCTTAAATGTTTTATTACAGCCAAATGAATTAGGATGGAATTATTTAACTTTAGATATCCCATTTCATTTAACTGCAATTCATATGGCCCTTTACTTAAACCAATTTAATTTCATTTTAAACAATTGCAAGTTGACTTGTGTATGTTTTGTTTTTTTATTTACAATTGTAGAATGGCTTCAAGGTAGGGAATACGAAAACACTGACCACGTTTAATAAGTATCATTGACATTTTATCCCATCAGATGTTTAAGAAAGTCAGCGTTTCCTAGTAGTCTTGATTAGTAAGACATACTGTCTTGAATTCCTTTCATACTTCACATTGCATCCTCTTGCTCCTTCTTTTTAATCTCATTGTTGCTACGGTAACTAACAGTGTGGAAGTCTAGCCTGACAGCACACTGCCTCAGCCATACCTGTCTTTCATTTTCTGTCCCAAGGTATTTTTATGTTTATGTTTAGTTCTATTTGTTTTCTAACAAATACCCAAGGACTATCTATTTTCCATCTCTGTAGCATTTCAATTGCAGTCATATCATGAGCCAGGTAATGCTCTCGTTGCTCATTTCTACTTCCCATTCAGTTTTAGCTTTGGTCTTCCAGGTTTACCCCAGGATTACTTAAAGAAATGTCTGGGGAGGAGGAAGCAGGTGGTATGGTGACCATGGGCACTGGACTCCCACATAGCTGACCATGGTTCGAATCCTGTACCTGGAGGCTTGCTTTCTCACTTTTTCTAGCTCTCTGGAAATATTAAAATAATAATAATAAATATAGTTAAGTAAAGTAATTCTTATTAAAAAAAAAAAGAAAAGCAATGTCTGGAATGACACGATGGAGCGAGTTGGTGGCCACATCTGTGCGTCAAACACAAAGGTGCAGATCTTTGTGAAGACCCTGATGATAAGACCATTACCCTCAAGATTAAGCCCAGTGAGACCCGAAAATATCAAAGTGATTCGAGTCCCAGATCTGCGTGCTTTCTCACTTTCTCTCTCTCTCTCTGTCTCTCTGTCTTTCTCTCTCTCTCTTTCTCTCTGTGTCCCTCTCTGGTCAAATTTAAATAAATAAATAAAAATAAATAAAAGCAAAAAATAAAATAATTCTTTAAAAAAAGTAAAAAAAAATTCTAAAAAATAAAAGTAAAGAGCTATAGCAGGTTGTAAAAGTATATCCATTCTGGGGCTGTTGTGGTGGTTAAGGTGCTCCCGCATGACTGACTATGGACTGACTCCTGGACCTGGTGGCTTGCTTTCTCACTTTCTCTCTTTCTCTATCTCTCTCTTTCTCTGGTCAAATTAAAGAGTAATAATGATAAAAATAAAATAAAATGAATAGTTCTTAAAAAAATATTATATTCATCCACCAAGGGCCAAAGATGTGTTTTCTCCACTGTCAAGGCGACATTGGTAGAATGTGGTCTAAGACTGACATTCATTCTACTGAATCTCCATGATGTGTGAAAACTGATCAAAGTTAACCTTTCTAAATGAGCAGTTTTAATGTAAAATTATTCAGCCAATCCAGACCACATGTTCTTACTAATCCATGTGCACACTACACACATATTACTTTGGGGCAGTGGTAAGCATTTCTTTAACTTTGAGGGAGATGTCTTCTATCACAGCAGCAGTCTAGGCCTGCACAGTAGATTGGATCTAATAAAATGACTCTTGTCAGAATCCGATCCGTAGTGTTTGACCAGACTGTTCAAGTAGTAGGAGAATATTGGAGTGGCCAGTGTCTTGCAGTGGGAGAAAATGCCTTTGAATTATGAAATATCAGCGTTCTTCTCACCTGTACAAAGGAATCAGATTTCTGTGATTGGTTGTCTAGGACTAAGGCTACCGGTTCACACACTTGCTTGGACTGACTAAATATAAACCTATCCTAATGTGTCAATTCTAGATATTATTAGCACACAGATGCTCATTTTTCTACCTCCCTTCCCCCATGCCATTGGGTCACTGAAAAAGTCATGATAGATTTTTCTGTTTTGTTCTATGCAAAAATGTGTCATGACTTTTCCGATGACCCAATGCTATAGGTTTTATAGATTTGCAAATTAAACCAGCCTTATTTGTTGATGCAGACAAAATATTGTGACCAGGATTGGGGTTTAGTATGACAATTCATGCACTTGCACACTTTAAACCCAATAATCAGGTATAAATATAGGAAGAGAGCAGTTGGGGTCATTTTAGAAATAGCTCAAGATGGCTTTCTGGGGTGAAGGTGAGGTGACCTCTGTGGAAAAGGTCAGAGGCATATCAGGACTTGAGGCTGAATCAAAAGTTAACAAAAAGAGCATATGCTTTTAATTGTCTCAAGGGAACCAGTTATAGGGTGTACTATGGTTTAAATGAGTTTCCTCAAGCTTTGTACGTTGAGATTTGGTTCCTATTATGATGGCATTAAGAGGAACATTGATCTGACTATGGGATATGACATGGAGCCTTTGGGAGATGGTGAGTGTGGAGATCCCACAATAGACTTGTGGTACCTTTGTAAGAAGAGAGAGACCAGAACAGAGCCACAAGGATATGCATGGACGTGGAGACAGACACTCTGGCTCCTGCTGTCTCACTGTGTGATGCCCTCACCTGCTCCAGGACTCTGTGGAGAGCTCCCCTCAGCAAAAAGACCCTCTCCAGATGCAGCTCCTTGACCTTGGACCTCTAAAATCATGAACTAAATAGACCTCTGCTATTTACACATTACCCAGAGTCAAGTTTTTCTATTAGTAGCAACACAACAGGCTAAAATACAATGCTTCTAATAGAACTCACACATGTCCCATGAAAGGAAGAATAGTATTTACCAGGGGCTGGCAAGTGGTATGGTGATTGAGGAGCTGGACTCCCACATGGCCGACCACAGTTCTAGTCCTGGACCTGGTGGCTTGTTTTCCCACTTTCCCTCTCTCTCTCTGGTGAGTGCACATGCACTATACCAAATTAAAAACAAATAATAATAAATAAAATTAAATAACTCTTTAAAAAAATATTTACCCTCTGCTAGGGTCAGAATGATATCAGCATTACCTTTTCCTTCCCCCTGATTTTCCCTCCCTTTCCTAATACAGCATTGAAGGAGCCAGTGAGTGGGAGAAGCAATGGGCATACAAGCAGAGAACATAATGCAAAATTCACCATACTCTCCTGCTTCCCCGGTGAAGGCTTTCCATGAAGACTGGAGACCAGCCAGGACAAGGCAGAAACTCTGTTACATCAAGCTCAGAATTTCAACTATTGCATGTTGCTGGACCTTTAAGTTACTGAATTAAATGTGTATTGTGATTCATGGGATTGAAAGATTTTTCAATTTCTGAGAGGAATCAGAAAAATCATAGATTTTACCCAAGGAAAGGGAAAGACTAGCTCCTTCTACAGAATGGCGATTTGGGGGATGGGGGAAAGTAGCTGCTTTCTAATTGTATCTTATGACTCTCATTTCTCCAGTGGTTGTCTTCTGTATTTGTAGATCACCTTTCTTGTTGTGTTATTCAAATTATGTCTATCAGAAGTTGGCAAACTATAGTCATAGGCCAAATATAGTCTACAATCAGTAGTGGTAAATAAAACTTTATTAGAACAGAGCCATACTCACTTGTTTATGTATTGTTATGTATCGCAGCAGCAGGGCTGTTAATTCAAATAAATACATATAAAATACATATTTATATGTCTCACAGATGGGTAAACAGCAACTGGTACTTATGATAGTCAATAAAAAACCTTTAACTTAACTTACCTAGGCACTGCGTTAGCCACGAAAAGAAAAGAACAATGATGCAAAAAATGTATGAAATTTTACCAGATAAAGAAATTGACAAACAAATTTCATTGATAGACACACAACACAACATGACCTTAAAAGAAAAAAAAAAAAAAGCACTTCTAAGTGGTACATCACTTTAGATGGATTTGGTTGCAAGTAAGAGAAAATGAAACTCGAACTGGCTGAAATGATGCAGAGCTGTGCTTCTCAAAGTGGGGTCAGTGAACATGCAGGATTAGCACCACCTAGCATCGTGTTAGAGATGCAGATCTTATGGTTTACCCTAGAACTATGAATCAGAATCTCTCGAATTATTGCTCAGAAATTTGTTTTTGTCATTTGTTTAAAAGTTATTAAATTTATTTCTTGAAAGAGAGAGAGCATCCCCAACAGAATCTTGATGCCACTTTCCACCCTAGCCTGTAGCCGTCCCTGGATCCTGAACAACCGTGTGTCCAGCACACCCAGGGAGGTCTCTGGACTTGAACCAAGGAAATCCCTATGTAAGTTGCATTGCAGAGTGGTTATTTACCATTACACTATTATCTGGTCCCAGAAATCTGTGTGTTAACAAGTGTCCTAGGAGACTCATTTACACTCAAGTTTAAGAAGCATAAATAAAAGAAGTTCATGGTTTATAAATTGGAAGCTTAGTTTGATTCAGTGCTCAAGGTATCTTTTTGCTTTTCTCTTCTGTCTTCAGCTTTTCAATTGCATTCTTACTCTGCTTTCCTATGAGATCTCCAGGCACACACATATTTGCATATATGTGTACACATAGCCTTTAGCCAAATAATCTTAGTGTTTGGGGAGTCTATCAAATAGTAATAAAACCGCACATATATAAGGAAATACATACATGGTTTTTTATAGTAGCATTATTTAAAGAGCAAAAAATAAATCAGAAAACTATATTGTCAATTAATAGGAGACAGGTTATATAAATTAAAGTACATTCATGCTGTGAAATGCTATACAACTATAAACAAGGAATGAGCGTATGTATTATTCATTCAACAAACATTTAACATGCATCTACAATATTCATGGTGTATTGTAAATGTTGACATTTAAACAAGTGCTGAAGGAAAGTGTATCTTTCATGATGCTTATATTCTAGCCCAGGTGGGAAAGAAATAAGTAAACAAATAAATAAAACACGAAAACTTCAGAGATTGACTACATACTAAGAATAAAATCAAATAGAAAATCAAATAGAAAATGATAGACAGGGAGTTAAATTAGGACCTGAGGAAAGTAAGAAAGATGGTCTTGCAAAGAAAATGGAAAATAATATTTTATGCATCTTTACAGTCTTATTGGTGAATCCAGAAGGATCTGCAAATTATACTAAAAAATTACAGAAAACACGGTCCAGCGTAATTCTGTCACTGAGGTGAGGGTCTCTCAGGTCATTGCTGGAAAGAATTCAAGTGCAAGTCAAATATTACAGCAAAGCAAGTTTATTGAGTAACAGTTCATTCCACCTGCAGAGCTGACTGCTTAGGTATCTCCGTTTATGGGAAAGTTGCATGCATATCATACAGGGGATTGGATTGTTGGGGTTTAGTAGCGGTCTGGAGATCTGTGTAAGGTTGTCCATCTGTGCACGTGCTTTCTAGCTGAACATGCTTGAACATACATGGAATATATCGTTAGCATACAAAATCTCCCAGGCATGTGTTTTTTAGTATGCTAATAAAGCAAATGGTAACTTTTTAGGTCACCTGAGGCAGCATTATATGTGCTTGACCACAAAGCTGTTGCAAATAGGTGTAAACAGAATCTTTGTGTTTTTTTTTTTTTCCCATCAAGTTTTATTCTGGGGTTTGGCCTAATTTCTGTGTCCCACCTTTTATCTCCTGTCTCAAAATTATTAAAACAAAATATAGAAAATTACTCTTCAGAAAGGTATGCAACTTCTTTTTAATTGCCAAAGGGTGTGTGCACCCATAAAAGAAAGAGAGGGAGAGGGAGAGAGAGAGAAAGCGAAAGCATCCCCTGCTCCCAGTGGAGAAGGAACATTCCTTAATTTTTTTCCTTCATTTCTCCAACCAATTGGGATTTGGGACATGCACGCTCATGTACACACACACACACACACACACACACACACACACCTGGAATGTTTTTCAACCCACCGGGGCTAGGCTTGTAGCTGTGGTTGGTCATGTGAGATCCATCTCCTTATGCACTGGAGGAGTCCAACCTGGTAAGGCCCAGGGTCTGTCTTGAGTCTTTTGACCTATACCTCTTAGGTCGGGCAGCATGTTGGCAAGGCCGCTGCTGTGTACCCCCACCCCCCACCCAACCTAGGAATAAGACTTAGGTTGAATTAGCATGTCAGCAAGCCTGCTTGCTATTTGCTCCAGAAAACTGGTAGCCTTGCTGGGAAGTGACCCCCCTCTGACTCCCCAATATACTACTATAAAAAGAATTACATAGCTCTCTTATACATCCTGAGTATATGATAAAATTTTCCAGGAAGTCCCCCAACCGCTCCCCTTTGCTCTGATCACCTACTGTTAATTACAATGCTTTATCTCCATGGTCACAATAGAGGGTGGACTGAAGTTCTATCTAGGCAGAAATAACCTTGACCTTCGGAAGGCCCTTCAAAATACATTTAAGGTAAACTTAATCTTTTCTTTACATAAAATAAGATTAGGCCAAAACTGGCCCAGGACACCCCCGCCCTCACCAAGTGAAATAGATAAATATATTAGGATTCCT